CTTATGTTTTCAAGAAACGACAAAGCTGCCTTCCACAGTGCTGTCCCGTCTTGCATTTCAGCAGCTGTGCCTGGCATTTCAGCTCTTCCACATTCTCACCAATGCCTGGGATTGTCAGGCTTTGAAAATTTGTCATTCTAGTGCATTTCCCTGTTGACCAGTGATGCCGAGTATATATGGTTTTTATTGGGGAATTGGGGAGGGGAACAGTGTTGGGGAAGTGAGGAAGGGGAACATCGTGTTTTTCCACGACCCATCAGTTCCAAGTCAAGTTGTTGTCCTTCAATCTTAGTTGTGGAGGGCGCAGCTCAGCTCTAAGTCCAGTCACCGCTTTCAGTCTAGTTGCGGGGGAGCTCAGCCCACCACCCCATGTGGGAATTGAACCGGCAACCTTGTTGCACACAGCCATCCGGCCACCCGGCCGCAGCTCACGGCTGCTCAGCTCAAAGTGCCGTGTTCAATCTTAGTTGCGGGGGGGCATAGTCCACCATCCCGCACGAGTGTCGAACCCGCAACCTTGCTGCTAAGCACACGCTCAGCAGCAGCTCAGCTCGGGCACATCTCACTGGCCCATGTGGGAATCAGGCTGGTGACCCTGTTGCTCAAAAGTTGTGCTCTTAAGCAACTGAGCCACTCGGCCAGCCCCTGAATATCTTTTTATATGCTTATTTAGCATCCACATGTACCTTAATATCTTCTGCCCATTTCAAAAAACATTTTTGTATTTTGTAAACTCGATATTGAGTTGTAAGAGTTGGCACCTCTTTTTTTTCTGGTCAGGATTAAATGAGAGTTGGATTTTTCTTGGGGAAACAAGGTTACCTATTTGTTCAGGATTCCACAGGGCAATTTCTTTTCTCTCAGAACTGACTGCCATGTGTTTTCCCGGAGGTGGGAGAATAGCATATTATGTGTGTGTGACTTTCTCAAATGCCATTATAGCTGCAACCCAGAGGAGTCTGTGGCTTCTTCGCTGGTCACTGAGGGTGAGATGGAGCCAAGAGTTCTCAGTCCTTCCATAAGAAACCATGTGTCTCTCTGCCTTTTTAGGTCTGGGGTGTTTTGGCAGAGAGTGGCGTGGATAGGACCCCTAAGGACCCTGAAAGGGGGTCATACAGATCCTGGGGGGAGGGGAGAGTGTGTGTGTGGGGGGTGCTCTTGCTGCCAGGGTCAACATGAAGAGGTTTGAAAGGAGTGTTGAGTGCACGAAGCAAGAAGGCAAATGGATGAGAAGTTATAAGCTGCTGCCACGCACTGAAGGTCAGCTGGCCTCATCTGAAAATGGACACTATAAGACCTCAGCCTTATGGCTTTTCCATATAATGGAAAGCGCCCTGTGTGGTACCTGGTGCTTAGTAGGTGCTTTGAAATGTTAATAAGCAGATGCCAAGGAGAAAGTGGAGGAAGGCCTGTGCTTGGGGGGCAATATTCTTCCCTTCAAGTAGGGAAGAAAATGTTTTAAAAATTTGTCGCGAGCCTCTCTAGCAATCTGGCGGAAACTCATAAACCTCTTCTGAACATGTTTTTAAATACATAAAATAAACTATATGGGATTACAGAGGAAGTAAATTGTATTAAGAGAGCTATCAAAATACTAAAAACGAATTGGTGATGTAGTAACACACGCCCTTAGTTATTATTGCATTAACAAGGTACTCCGTTAGGTAAGTTAAGGTTTAATTCTATTTTTTGAAAACAAGGCGGCTGTTGCCCAGCTTCGAGGGGTCGTTAAGCTGGCACATGCCCAGGCAACTGTGATTGTTTCGATGGTTCCATGTGCTGAGAAGCCCACTTTGCAAATGGGATGGCAGCTTCTTTATAGCTGGCTTCTTGAGGCGAGGGTGGGCTTCTCTCCAGGATCATCAGAATTCCCTGTGCTTTTTGAGTTAAACTCAGTTGTGAGAACCTGGGATCCCACTGTGGGGGGCCCAGGGCCACCAGGCACAGAATTGACCCAAGTTGGCCAGTCATGTCACCCCAGGTCTGTGGGCCGAGGACTTGGGTCTGATAATGACTGTGGTTTGAAAGGAGTGATGTGTGCAAGCCATGTTCCAGGTACGTGCACACCTGAGGAGTGATATGAAATGCCTTTGAGCTCTGTGGTGACCACGTTTTAGGCTCTGCAAGTCGACGGGATGCCCTTCACTTGTGATTGAAGGACATGCTTGCTTTTAGTTAGAAGTTAGAAAAATACAGGTAAGTTGTTTACAAACCATCCAGACTCATGAGACCCCTTAGTCTGGTGTCATCCTGATCCACCCTGCCCACTCTCCCCCCAGCAGAGGTTTGAGCACTAGGGACCCCACTAACACCTCTGCCCTTGCTGACCACTGTCCCGGGTACTAGGACAGCCGTGGTGTGACCACAATGGCTGCCAGTCTTCAGAGCCAGATCCACTTGAAGCTGGAAGGGGCTTTCAGACCGTCCTGTCCCTCACTGTCATATTATGGTTGGGGACGCTAAGGCCCAGAGAGGGGAAGGAAGTTGCCCAAGGCCTCACAGCATGCGGCCAGCAGGATAAAGGCCCTGTGCCCGGTAGGGTCAGAGAGGTTTTAGGGGGAGAGATGCAGACTGAGAAGCCTGGGGATCCCAGGGTTTCACCCTCCTGTAGACATTATGGAGGTCGCCTTTCAAAGGATACTGTCCTTCCCCCACTCCTGTGGACTGCAGCTGTGCGCATTTGTGTTGTTTCCCCGCTGCCCTTACAGGGACCAATGTGGAGCTGTGGACCCGTGAAGGATGAGCGTAGCCACAGCTGGAGCTGTGTGGGAGGTGACAGGGGAGGGACAGAGGTGTCAGGCTCAGCCCAGTCGGAGCAGGCAGCGGGAGCCAGCTGTTCCCCGGCCATGCCCTCCTTTGAGACAGCCACCCGTGTGTGTTCGTGGCGGAGGCTGTTATCCCCCATGCAGCCTTGGCCCAGACTGCTGAGAGGGGTCTGGGAGACTTTGGTGAACTGTACCGGAGGCCTGCCATGGCAGGTGAAGTGGAGAGAACTGGAGAGAAGGTTCTGGCTCTGCTGTCCACTAGCTGAGGGTCTCCTCTGGAGCTCCTCACCCTCTCTCTGAGCCACCTGTGTTTCTGTTTAGGAACAGAGGCTTGTTCCCTCCACCTTTGACACCCCACTCCCCCCAAAAAAAGTGAGAGAGAGAAATTGGACAGGGTGTGAAGAGTCATGATGGGGCTCTTATAAACACAAGGTGTGCTTGTTAACAAAACTGTCATGCAGCTTCTGGGAGTTTTCAAGGATGACAAGGCTGGACGGGAGGGAGGGAGAGAGAGAGGAAGCCCTTTCCAGGTTGGAGAGGGAGAGGGACGGGTGGTGGTTTGGGAAGGTTCGGGGAGGGGCAGTATGAGGCTAGTCGTTCTCTCTAGGTGGCTCTGGGGAGAGGAGCCTGAGTACACAGCCGTGGAGTCGGGGGCCGGGCTGGAGAGCACCCGGTTGGGATCAGGGAGTTTGACTCAGGTTCTGGGGGAGAAGGGCACAGTGAGCTCAGCCTTCAGACTGACGTGCCTAGCCCCTGACTCCACTGTCCACTCCCTGAGGTGCTGCTGCAGGTTATGGGAGGGCCGCAGCCGGGTGGGGGAGTGTGGATGGTTGGAGCAGATCGTCCCCACTCACGCAGAGCAGCACAGGTGCAGCTGAAGGCAGCTAGAGGAGTTGCTGTGTTCTAAGGACTGCCGTGCTTGTCCCTGTACTTCTGCAGGGTGGACCCGTCTCAGGGTGCAGGCGGGGGTGAGGATTGGCAGGGCCTGTTGGTCCCTCCCCCTCCTGATCCTGGACCATTAGTGCCATGGGGATCTAGCGGCTGCTGGGCTCTCAGAAAGGCCTGTCTCCCATGTCTGGGCCCCGGAGCCAGTCCTCCCCACATTCTTTAGCAGCTCTTAACAGGTCTCCCAGCCCGCTTCCCCAGTCATTCTCTTATTTGTTTTAAATGAGCTTTAACTCAATGTTCAGAAGAGAAAAATCAGAAAATGCAGAGAAGCACAAAGAAGAAAGTAAAAATGATCTGTAATCTCATCCCTTGGTGATAACTCACATTAGCATCTTGCTGGGAATCCTCCCAGACTTATCTCCTGATACACTTTCATGAACTGAAATGGTACTGCGGCCTGAACTTGCCTTGCAACCTGCTGCTTCCAGTCCTGTTTCCGAGATGTTGGTCCACATTGGTCGTATGGTACTTTTAATGGCCATTGAACACCTCAGATATGTCCTATCATTTATTCAACAAGTCCCCTGTTATTGGCTGGAGGTTGTTGCCAGTGTCTTATTATAAACAACACTGCCCTTGTAGCCCATTTTTGCATGTATCCTCATCTGTTTCCCAGGAGAGAGCTCTCCATAAGGATACCCGGCATGTCTCATGTGGGGCAGAAGCTTTGCCTGTTGGTTGATGATGTTGAGGTTGATGTTATTGATTGTCAAGTTCAGGGCCTGGTGCTTTCACTGGACCCTTGATTTGCTGAGAGCTCACCTAGTTTGGACTTCCCTGGCCTAATTCTGTGACAACCATAGCTAGGATGTCCTCCTGCATCCTGTTCCCATCCAGATCCTTTACACCCAAACGTGACTTCCCTCTGCACCTGCTTCTGGTTCTCCCTCAGGTCTCCTACTTCTAGTTTGGAAGGCTTGGCCTCCATGTGGCCTGACCCAGTCACCTGGAGCCCTCAGTCCCTGCCTGGTGTGGAGGAGTAACCCCTTCCTAACTGTCATAGTTTTGCAAGAAGATTGCTGTGAGGAGTTGGGGGCTGCGTCTTTATGTCTCTCTATGTCCATAACCCCCAAAGCGCCCACAGAGGGCCAGGCACACAGCAGGCACTTGGCAAACATGTGGTGGGTGGCACACCTACCCCCTGTCTTCAGCTACAGGGTGAGCTGGCCTTCTCTGGGCCTCTGACTTTGCATCTGTACGTACAGTGGGTGTGAGGGGTGGACTAGGTCCCTTCCTGCCCTGGTTTCCCCCATCCCTTCCTTGACCACATGTCCTCTCACCCCACAGGTCTTGGATCCTGAGGCTGCTGGCTGACTATGGGTACGACGGCCAGCACAGCCCAGCAGACGGTCTCAGCCAGTGCCTCCTTTGAGGGACTCCAGAGTGGCGGCACAATGGACGGGCGGCACTCACTCAGTGTCCATTCCTTCCAGACCACGGGCTTGCACAACAGTAAGGCCAAGTCCATCATCCCCAACAAGGTGGCCCCCGTCGTGATCACGTGAGTGTCAGGGGTAACGTGACCATGTCCCTAGAAGACATGGCTGGGGGAGCTGCCTGGAGGGGTGGTGGCATACAGCACTTAATGCCTACAAACCATTTTCATAGATGAAGACACTGAGGCCCAGAGAGGTTAAGCTGTTTTTCTGGAGTCACACAGCAAGCTGGTGGCAGAGACTCTGTCGTGGGTCTCTTAGCTTATGTTACTTACTATGTCCATAGTGCCAGGGAGCGTAGAGAAGGAGGAGGGACTGGGGAGACACGCTTGGAAATAATTTTTGGCTGAACATTTTCAAAGAAAGTTTATATTCTTAGATGCATAAAATTTAGATTCATTTTTTTTCTACAACTAGTAATTATGGTTGGAAACTGAGGTTAACACCAGGCCAGTAAAGGGCCTTGGGCTGAAAAAGCTAGAAGCTGTTTGTCAACTGTCCTAATGAGGTCCTTCAGGGACATTCCCGGAGGAGGCTGAGGGTTTGTTCTGGCACCATATTTTGAGAGAGACCTGGACACACTGCCTCCAGAGGAAGAGGGTCAGGAAGGGTTCCTGTAATCCTGTCTGTCCCGTGGAGCCCAGTGACTGAGCAGGTGCTGGGGAATCTGAGGCCAGGAAGATGGAAGGCGCATTGGATCCGTCTCCTGGGGAGTCAGCAAGCCTTGTCTTACATTGAATCTGCCCACCGTGCTCCCTGCCTCTGGGCCCCACAGGACACAGGAAGTAGGACACAATGGGTTAAGAATTAAATATGTTCCACACATAGAAGTTCGGCAGAGAACTAGCAGATGGGGCCTTCCGTGTAAGGAAACCTGAGGGTGGGAATGATAAATCCGGCCTGCTGGCTTTGGGACCTGACAGGAAAATTATAATCATAATACATTACTGGGCTCATGATGAGGGGAGGAAAAGAGATGTTATATAAAAGAGTCTTGATCTGTAATCTCTCTGTTAGAGATGAGGAGACTAGGTTTGGGCCTGGAGGACAGTGTTGGCGACATGTATCCTGGGCCGTGCTCTGTGACCTGGGGCAAATCTGTTCCCTCTCTGGGCCTCAGTTTCCTTATCAAGACATGTGGGGATGATGTTCAGAATAGTTAACTGAGTGGTGTGGTTCAGAAAAGTCATGGCCTGCTGTAAAAACCCACCATCATGCTACTGTGCCCACCTCCTGGAGGCAGCCATGAGCACAGTCCTCCTTGGGTTGTAGTGTGTTTGAGGTAGAAGGGACCTTAGAGATCATTCAGCACAGGGGTTGGCAAATTCTATCCTATGGGTCAAATCCAGCCCATCATCTGTTTTTGGAAATAAAGTTTTATTAGAACACTGGCACTCCCATTCACTTACCTATTGTCTGTGGATGTTTAACACGTAAACTGCAGAGTTGAATAGTTGCAACAGAGACTGTATGACCCACAAAGCCTCAAATATTTGTAATCTGGTCCTTGCTGACTCCTGATCAGAGGCAAAAGCTGACCTAATACACAAACTGAGTTTTGGGGAGGTAGGGAGATTTGCTCATCATGGCCTATGCAGTGAGATGGGAGCAGACCTGGCAGAGGGGAACCCAGGTCTCTTGTCTCCTCAGCTACTGCCCCACCCGCTCCACCACCCTGCCTTGCCTCAGGGCAGTTCTTTTGCAAAGAGGATCATGACACCAGATCACAAGCTCTGGGAGGCTGAGTCTTATTCATTGTTACTATCAGCACAGAAGCTTCCTATGTCTTGAGTACACAGACCTCCCCCTGGTGTAGCATCTGTAGAAACCTGGATTTATACCCATGGGTTTTATTTGAAATGGTTTTGTGTGGAGGTAAGACTACTCCTAGTAATAATTTTATTGATAAGCGTTTACTGTGCCCAAGGCACTGGGTTGTGCTCACATTCATTAATGCACTGAATTCTACAGCAGCCCTGGGAGGTGGGAATCACTGGACACAGAGCTATAGAGAAAGTGAGTAACTCCAACAGCATGGCGTTACCAAGCGGAGGTAGATCACGTCCAGGCCAAACGGTCCCAAAGCCTGTTTCTGAACCACCTCACTCTGCTGGGGGATTGTCAGTGTGGGCGTTGTTCTCAGAGCCAATCTGATGGAGAGACCATCCAGGACCAAAGTAACCCCGGATAGAAGACCTTACACAAGACAGAAGCTTCTCACACATAAAAGTTAAGGAAGTGCACCAGTCTGGTATGGCTGCTCCATGATCATCAGCCAGGCTCCTCTTCTCCTGTTACCCCACCACCATCAACATCTACTTCCTGCCATCACTTCTGGATGCTAGCCAGGGAAAAAGAGAGAAGGGTAGAAGGCACACAGCTTCCTTTTAAGGGAATGGCCAAGAAGTTGCCCACGTCACGTTTTCTCACACCTCATTGGCCAGAACTTAATCACATGACCATACTAGTTGCAAGGGAGGCTGGGAAATGTAATCGTCAGATAGATGGCTCAGTCCCAGTTCTGGGGTTCTATTGCTGACGAAGGGGAGAGTGGATATTGGGATACAAGGGGTAGTCTCTGCTACAAATAGGTAGCCACATGGGTGGGAGTGGGGTGGCCCTGCTGTGGGGTCTGGTGAGGGTGGGGTCGACCCTGGCTATGGAGGTTGCCTGACTTGGGTCTCGGTCTGCCCCCGGCAGGTACAACTGCAAGGAGGAGTTCCAGATCCATGATGAGCTGCTCAAGGCGCATTACACGCTGGGCCGGCTCTCGGACGCCACCCCTGAGCACTACCTGGTTCAGGTGCGGTCAGGCCCTCTGCTTCCCTCCCTCATTTGGCCTCTCCCCTCCTGTCATCCTTCCTCACAGGTTCTCTCCCTTATCTCTTCTGGCTTTCCCTACTGTCCCCAGTCTTTGTTTCTCTGCCTCACCCCAACCTCTGGTGTCCTAGTCCCACTTTCCCTCACCCCCTGGTTTCCTAGGGCCCGTTCCTTCTGCCCTGTGGAGCCCCTGCTGTTCTTTATCCATCTATCCCCTGCCTAGCCCTAGCCTACCCACACCCCATCCCTCACAGCACCAGGGAGAACATAGATGGGGACAGAAGGCCGCCAGGCACCAGACTGCTTCCCCCAGGCTGGGGACCTCCCTCCCCTTCTTTTCTGAGGTTCCAAAACTTCTCTCGCTTAGCTATGTTTTTCTTAAACCTTAAAAATCTCCCAGGAAGGAAATCCACAAAGACAGATGACTTTTCATCTGTCTCGTTCACTGCTGTAGCCCTAGGCTCCAGACAGTGCTTGGGAGCAATGCCGGTGCTCAGTAAATAGTAAGTGAATGAACGATGCATGCGTAATTGACGATTAAACTGTATTTGCTGAAAGAATAGCTGGAATTTCTGGCATCTGGAAGAAATTCTGTCAGCAATGTCCATGTGGTCCTACTGGAGGCAGGGGGGTGGACAAGATGACCTCAGGGTTCCTTTGTACCCAGGAGTGAACTATTCTGGTTCCCCGACTCTCTCCTGATCCCCAAATAGTGTTTTTCTCCTCTTCTGTTCAATCTGTTCACTCCAGCTGGGGAGAGGAGAGACCTACTTGTCCTTAGGGCCCTAAGAAGGGGCTAGCACAGTCTTCTTCTAGTTGATTCCTGCTGCCCTAGCTCTAACTCCCTACGTGGGCCCCTTCTCCATGCACTTCCTCTGGGAGTGAGGGTCCTTTGTCTTTCTCCCAGGGAGCTGTGGGCTCACCCTACAGCCAGCTTCAGTTTCCTGTCCCAGGAGTGCCCCTGTGCTCTCCTTCTTCAAGGCCTGGCTCAGATGCCACCTTCTACATGAAGCCTTCTCAGATTTCCACTCAGGGGTTGTCTTTCCTTTTCCTGCACTCTGTGACACCCTTCCCAGGATCACAGATGGTTACGTATATTATCTGTTTTTTCTGTGAACTTATAGACAACTTGAGGACCATGTCCCATCTCCTGCTCCCTGTCCCCTGGGCTCTGGGACAGAGCCCCATCTGTAGAAAATGTCCCTGAGTCATCTGAGTGACCCCCTGTGGCTCTCCCACTTCCAGGGACGCTACTTCCTCGTGCGGGATGTGGCTGAGAAGATGGACGTGCTGGGCACTGTGCGGAGCTGTGGGGCTCCCAACTTCCGGCAGGTGCGGGGCGGGCTCACCGTGTTTGGCATGGGGCAGCCCAGCCTCTCAGGTTTCAAGCAGGTCCTCCAGAAACTCCAGAAGGACGGACACAAGGTAAGCATGGTGACTTCCTAGGTAGGGGCTAGACCCTTAAATCGGGAAAGGGGCTCCCTGGAGGGGCAACTTCAGAGGCCCTGGAGGAGTCTGGTCACAGGATCGGGAGGGCGGCTGGCAACCTGGACCCGGCCCTACCAGGCCTTGCGTACCATGGTGGTCATCGTGGTCAGTGTGGTTGGGAAACGCTGGGAATGTTTATTGCATCATTCTGTGTAGACAGGGAGCCCCAAGATCAGAAGCCCTTCATACACCCCACTCTGAGAACCTCAGAGGAAGCGAGGAGGGTGACAGGGTGACAAGAGGGGCCAGGTCATAACGAGAGAGCCACAGGATGATGATTACAACTAACATTTACAGCCTCATATTAACCCTATGATGGTGGGGCAGTTATTTCCCAATTTTATAGAGGAGGAATCCAAGGCTCAGAGAGGATAAGTGACACAGCTCATGAGTGGTGTCCCAGGACCCAAACCCAGACATCTGGACTCCAAGTGCCTGCTTCTGTCCTGCCTGCTGTTGAAGTGGGGTTTTGAGTGTCTCCAGGACAGAGGCTGAGGGTCCACTGTGATTTCAGGCTCATTGCAGATCCCCAGTGTCCGATTTGACCTGGGGCTAAGATGGGGAGTCTTTGAATGAACCGTAGTGGGGTGGGGGTGTTAGCCGTGTGGCGATTCCGTCTTCCCAGCTTGACTGCAGGTTCCTCCAGGGTGGGGTCTGCCCACATATCTCCCTCTGTCTGGATGGTACACAGTGAATGAATGATGACATGGTGGTAGTGAGCATTCATTTCTTCAGCTGATGTTTTTCAAGCACTTGATTTATCCAGGGCTCAGTGCTAGGAATTATGGGGATATGAAAGCGACGGATACGATTCTACCTGCGAGGAACCTGTCGTCCATGAAGGGAGAAAAGATGTATTCATTGATAATGTTACCACAAAGTGGGAATTCACACTACGAGATTCAGATGAAGGACTGTTGGCCCTGAGAAGGGGGAGGGTCAGGAGCAGGTGGCATCGGGCTGAGCTTTGCTTCTTGGGTAGGATTCAGGCTGCAGGGACAGGCTGGGGTGATAGGCCCTTGAGGAGGGGGAGCGGCCTGCTCAAAGGCCCAGAGGTGGGGTAGTGGAGCGGGAGCCCATGCCCGGCAGTGGCGATGGCTTCCTTCCGCCTTGGGCTTCCGGCAGGAGTGTGTCATCTTCTGTGTGCGGGAGGAACCTGTGCTATTTCTGCGTGCTGATGAGGACTTCGTGCCGTACACACCTCGAGACAAGCAGAGCCTTCATGAGAACCTCCAGGGCCTTGGACCAGGGGTCCAGGCAGAGAGCTTAGAGCTGGCCATCCGGAAAGAGGTGAGGGCCACTGGTATGGATGGGAGGGCCCCGTCCCTGATCGGCCTGGGACCCCAGCTGAGTTGAGATCCCAGCCCACAGCTCAGCCTTGCTCTCACTGGCCCGTACTCACCCACTTGAGTATCTGCCCTGCTTGGGTGAGTGGCTGGCTGCAAGGCCAGTTCAGGGGCAGCCCGAGGAAGGACTTCCTATTCTCGACTCTGTTCGCCTCTGCCCCTTTCCCACCCTGCTTGTTTCCCTCCATACTCCACATCCTTATTTAGAAAGGGGTCTGGTGGAGTGAAAACAGCACTGGACTAGGAGTCCAAGACTGAAGTTCAGCCTTCTGTGAGCTGTGAGGCCTGGGGTGAAGCATTTTTCTCATGGACCTCTGTCTGTTTCTGAGGTCCCTCTGTCTTCTTCCTCCACAAGATTTGTCAAGGTCTCTGTGGCGGTTGTGTAAATAGAGTGTGGGGGTCACAGTGCCTCCCCCATGAGACTGCCACGGGCAGGAACCAAGGCTGCACGGTCCGCTGGTCATCTCCCCATCCCCCTCCCAGGCTTCCTCTCTAGCTCCCAGCTGTCCTTCTGTCTGGCAGCTGAATTCCTGCTGCCCACTGGGCAGAGCCCTTCCTACCTGGCCCCATTGTGGGCCATGTCAGCCTATGCATAGATGGCTGCCCTCAGGATTACCAGGGCATGTAGAGCAACCCTGGCCATGTAGTTCCCCCTGGAGGTGAAGCAGCCTCTCTGTGGCCTTGTCACTCCAGAGGTCAGCTAGGAGGGCCGTGAGGGACCTGAAGGTCCGTCATGGCCCTCTGTCCCCCACGCCTCCATCTAGATCCATGACTTTGCCCAGCTGAGCGAGAACACATACCACGTGTACCACAACACTGAGGACCTGTCAGGGGAGCCCCACGCCGTGGCTATCCGGGGTGAGGATGATGTGCACGTGACCGAGGAGGTGTACAAGCGGCCCCTCTTCCTGCAGCCCACCTACAGGTACCCAGGGCCAGTCCTGCGCAGGACCTCAGGGTGTTGGCCGTGGTGCTCGCTCTGGTCCTGCTCTCTGCTGTGGCCTCGGTCTCACCAGCTGTAGGTGGGGCTGAGTTCCCCACACCTGTCTCTCTCATGGGAATGCAAGGGTAGGGGATGCCCAGGGTGTGTGGCCTGTCTGATGGGCTGCTCCCCCTCACCTGGCAGGTACCACCGCCTGCCCCTGCCAGAGCAAGGGGCCCCCCTGGAAGCCCAGTTTGATGCCTTTGTCAGTGTCATCCGGGTAAGTGGGGGTGGGAGGGTGGTGGGAGCACAGAGGGTGTGCAAGGGCCTGGAGAGTGGGTCTGTGTCTAGGTTCTGTCTCCATGGAGATGCTCAGGGTGGGCGTGGCCTCTGGGTTTCCTCAGAAGTGCTCATTCTGTGTTATATATGGTGTCAAGTGTGTAGGGGGTATGTGCATGTGTGTATGGAGGTTGTGTGTATACACACCTGTGTCTGTGATTGGGTTATGCATGGGATATGTGTATGTGTGTGTGTGTGTGTGTGGGGGTAAGTATTTGTACATTCTCTGATAAGAGAGCCCAGTCCTGGACTTCGGCCCTGACTGAGCTGCTAACTTGCAGTGTAATCTTGGACAATATCCTAACCTCTCTAGACCTCAAGTTTATTTCTTTACTGGAGCTAAAAATTCTTACCCTCTATATTCTTCCACTGATATTTCCTGAGTCCTGGTGGTGTTTCTCTCCCAACCCCTTCTGGAGGTCACCTTATTTAATTAGCATCTCACAGGGGTGTTAGAGATGGCCTTGTCCCCTCTGAGTAGTTCTCACTTTCAGAGCTAGCTCTGTGGTCTCCTCCAGGGTCTGGGAAGGTGGCAGGGCCTGGGCACCAAGGGGGCAGGTGGAGCAGATCAGGTTGTGGGGTTTGGCAAAAGAGGCTGAGTTGCTGTTTGGCTTTAACTTGCCGCAAACTGTGGGGTGGGGGTGGACTTATGTCATGACCCCTCTACCCCTACTTAGTCCTTAGCCAAGGGGATTTTGGGTCACGCTGTTACATGGTATTCATGGTCCTTCCCTAGGAGACCCCCAGCCTGCTGCTGCTTCGAGATGCCCGTGGTCCTCCCCCTGCTCTCCTCTTCAGCTGCCAGACGGGTGTGGGCAGGACCAACCTGGGCATGGTCCTGGGTACCCTCATCCTGTTTCACCACAGTGGGACTGCCTCCAGGCTGGAGTAAGTGGCGTGGGTGGCTCAGTGCCCCAATGGGCTGCCCCAGTATGCTGGGGACATAACCAGGAGCTCAGAGTCAGAGCTAGAAACTGGGCATCTGGGGTTCATTTTCTGGCTTACCCTAGACTTGCTGGGTGACCTGGAGAAAGTCACTTGACCTTTCTGGGCCTCAGTTTCCCCAGTGGGGAAAATGCCCCATGTCTCCCCGATCTTGATTTCAAAAGGAAGACTTGGACCCTGTAACCTGGTGCCTCTCAGCAGCTGTATAAATGGGAGAGTGTTAACAGCAGGGCATCCTAGAGGCCTTTGGGAGTACTGATTATGCCACTGCCTCCTTCCTTGTTAGGCCTGCCCCCTCGAAGACCAAGCCGCTGTCCATGGAGCAATTCCAGGTGATCCAGAGCTTCCTCCACACTGTGCCCCAGGGAAGGAAGATGGTGGAGGAGGTGAGCAAAAGGGCTGGGCAGGGAGCTAGGGCAGGAGCACTGCAGGGGCATTCACTCCCCTCACTGGTGAAGTCTTCCTCCTCCGCCAGTCATTCATTCTCTCTCTCTCTCTTGCTCTGTCTGTCTGTCT